CAAGGTATAATTTTGGAAGTGAAATTACTCACTTTAAGGGTATATCATTTTGAAGTTTCCATACCTATACCTGCAATTGGACTCACAGATGTTTTAGCTAGTTGTATTTCTATCAATAATAGATGGATCCCTCCTATACTCTCCTCAGCATCTCTACTAATCATTTACTCTTTTCAACCTGATAAGCAGAAAATAATCTTTTAGTATTCTGAACACTTTTTTCTAACAATTCCAATGTTATTTTAGATGTAAAATTTGCATTTAAAATTCATGGAGTACATTTTAATTATCATTTAAGGTAAATATTTTTTGCTACATATGAATGATTACTAGGATGATATTTTTACCATTTATAAATTATTAAGCATTTGTGTGTGTGTGTGTGTGTGTGTGTGTAGGTGCATGCGAACATGTATGTGGAGGTCAAAAGGCAACCATATGTGTTCTTCTTTAAGTGATATCAGCTTGTCATTGCTGTTTTTATATGAAGTCCAGGGATGAAACAGATCTGGAACACTTCATCTATTACATACTAAAACTGTATAAACAAATTAGTACATCTTAAGCCAGTACACTGACTTTTATCTTACTATATTGATTGTCATACCTATTTATTTATAAATAGCATCATTTATAAAATATTTAAATATGTTTAACGATTTATAAGCCATTTCCTATGCATCGATTTTTTTAGTCAAAATTATATCTTTTACATGAACAAATTTTGTACAATTTCGTCAGCCGGTTAGAAAGTCTAATTCCAGATATTGATAAACCTTAAAATCTATACAGTTCCAGCCTCTAAACTTAAAGACAAAATACCATCCTCCAGAAATCTATAGACAAAGAAATCAATTTCAATGGCATATAGAATACATGTATCTGTTAGCAAAATGCCTAATAACTTTTTATGTTGGTATTTACTGGATAAGATGCACATAAAAATACTTCTTGGGCTTAAATTATTGACTTAAAATGTTAGTTCATTAAATTATTGATTTAAGGACTAATTTTGGGGGTGGGAATTATTTGTAAATTGAAGGCTAAATACCCAAAAGGCATATAAAAACTTAAAGACATTACTCTCAACTAATCTAAACACAACTCTGCAGGAGCATATGGGCTGGGAAGAGCTCAGCAGGTAAAGAAGCTTTCCTGCCAAGGCTTGCAACCTCACAACCCGACTTTGACCTTTGAAACCCCATATAGTAAAGGAGCAAATCCACTCCCGTAAAGTTAAGTATTTTCTGACCTCAACATATGTGCTGTGGAATACAAGTGAACATGTGCACCAAGAGAAATACACACACAAAACATTTTAAGTACATCTGATGGAGGAGGGTTATCTGTCTATTGTGTTATTTTCATTGGTCAATAAAGAGACTGCCTTGGCCCTTTGATAGGACAGAAAATTAGGTAGGCGGAATAAACAGAATAGAATGCTGGGAAGAGGGCAATGGGGCAGATGCCATGGAGCCAGCCACCAGGTCAGACATGCTGAATCTTTTCCGGTAAGCCACCACCTCGTGGTGCTACACAGATTATTAGAAATGGGTTAATATCAAGATATGAGAGTTAGTCAGTAACTAACTCTCTAGAGATAATGGGCCAGGCAGTGCTTAAATGAATACAATTTGTGTGTTGTTATTTCTGGGACTAAGCTAGCTGTGCGGGAGCTGGGTGAGGCGAAAAGCAGGCCTGCCCGCAGCCCCTCACTACAGATGGCGCCCAACATGGATAACTGAATCCACAGAAAGCTTGAGAAAGCTTGGAAAAGAATAGAGTAAAGCATGTTTTGTTGGTAGCAGCAATTTCTCAGGTCTGCTCTGTTTGCTAGAGGCAAGCAAGCACTCTCATCTAAGGGAGGCTTCCTGACTCAGCTTCAGCTGCAAAACCTTGCAGCTCTTTTAAAAGGTCCTGTTACAAAACACTTAAATGGTGTTGACGAAAAACTGAACGCATGCTTTTCGTTTTTCAGCTGTAACAGGGAAAAAGCTGTGTCGTTTTAAAATGCCAGCTTTCTGGGCTGTCCTGCCAGGGCAAACTCTGACTCTTTCAGGCAGGCAATCCGACTGAGTGTGGTTTGTGAGCAGAATGCTGCAGCTTGCTGGCAAGGACCTTGAAACGCCATAGAGTTGTGGCAGTGAACACAGCTCTGGTTGGTACCTCAGCTTTGAGGCTGGAAAGATAAGGAATGGGCTAATACCTTTAATCCCAATGCCCAGGAGGTAGAGGTGGATTGACTTCTGAGACTTCAAGGGGCAGAGGTAGATTGACCTCTGTAACTTCAAGGTGTGGTAGCACACATCTTTAATCCCAATGCCTAGGAGGCAGAGACAGACAGATCTCTGTGAGTTCAATGCGTGGTAGCACACGCCTTTAATCTCAGCACTGGAGAGGCAGAGACAGACAAATCTCTGTGAGTTCAAGGATAACCTGGTCTACAGAGTTAGTCCAGGACAAAGATATACAGAGAACCTGTCTCTAAAAGTAAAAGTAAAAATAAAAGAAATAGAGGTTAAAATAAAGCTGCATAAAGATGGAAAATACACAGAGAATCTTGATACTGTATGCTATTATGCTCTCTTTGAATTGTTTGAATGCTGAGGAAGGAGCAACAGCTGCTAAAAGATATTTGTTTATAAATGCTGCTGAACTAATCCAAGATAGATATTTTGAAAATACCTTGACTTCAGAATTTGGGTCTAAGAATATGATGCTTTGGAAAGGAGGTCCTTCTTTTGTTTTCACAGACGATGAGACCCTGTGGATTTCTTCTATCCCAGTATGGTATGATAGACCACGTCCTCCTGAAAGGTTGCTGTGAACACCCTCAAGAAATTACTTCATTCAACTGCCCACTGAGATGAACCTGGCAGACAGGTTATACCATGAAATACCTGATCAACAGTGCCCCTATAAAGCAGGAAGAAGTTTGGAGAGAAATAACTATGTCCATATTCCCAGATATTGTTTATAAATGTTCTTTTACCTTTAAAGGTGGATAGGATATAGATATGAATAATTTGCTTTGTTATGGATTTTAAGGTCAATTTTGTTATATGTATATATGTTTCTGATCTTGATTGATGTATTGTGATTGTGTAGTTCATTTTAAAAATGTAATGTATAATTAGAAAATATAGGTTGTTAATGGATAATTATCAATAATAGTCAAGCTTGTAGTAATGTTAGTTTGGTTTTCTAGAGGTGCATAGATATATTTCAGATATGCATTTTTCATATCTTTCAAAGACTACAGAACATGGCATTTAATGTTTTAATAACTTAGGACTTTTCATGACAATGAGACACATCTGCTCCTGGCAGCACCAATCTACTTCAAGAGGAAGATGGGCATCGAAGAGGCTTCTTATGGAGTTCGTTAGCCATTTGGGCAAGAAACTGCTCTTGCCTGGACTGTTGTATAAACTGGACACAGAGAACCCACAGAGAGAGGACTGCTGAACTTGCCTAAAGGTGAGATGATCTTTCGGGGTTCCTGATTCATGAAAGAGTCTGCAAGACATTCTGCAGGACATAGCAGATAGTGACTGATCTGCCTTTGAAATTTCCTGCTTCATGGAAATGTCTCTGGATATTATGGGCCTGAAGGCCGAAGATGGGTGCCCCAACGATACAGAGGAACTTTGGGTGACTGTCCAGGCAGCGAGATGTCTCTGTCATTTCTAGAGTTTAGGAAGTTGCTTACTTCTTGTTTACTTAGGTAATATTATATCCTTCTGGAGTCTTTGATGGAGTTGAAGAATGGATAGTCATAGTTATAGTTTTCCATTATTATGATAAAGATATTGTTATAAATATTGTGACTGTAATTCTTGTTTGATAACTGTTTTGTTAGATGTAATTTTACTATGTTAAAGTGAAAGCCTTTCTTTTTTGTTTAAACAGAAAAGGGGGAAATGATGGAGGAGGGTTATCTGTCTATTGTGTTATTTTCATTGGTCAATAAAGAGACTGCCTTGGCCCTTTGATAGGACAGAAAATTAGGTAGGCGGAATAAACAGAATAGAATGCTGGGAAGAGGGCAATGGGGCAGATGCCATGGAGCCAGCCACCAGGTCAGACATGCTGAATCTTTTCCGGTAAGCCACCACCTCGTGGTGCTACACAGATTATTAGAAATGGGTTAATATCAAGATATGAGAGTTAGTCAGTAACTAACTCTCTAGAGATAATGGGCCAGGCAGTGCTTAAATGAATACAATTTGTGTGTTGTTATTTCTGGGACTAAACTAGCCATGCAGGAGCCGGGTGAGGTGAAAAGCAGGCCTGCCCGTAGCCCCTCACTACATACATCTTTGTAAGAAAATTAAAATAGGAATGAAATGACTGCAACTTTAAAAATTGTTTGACAAGTGGTTTGACATAGGTCTTAATTTGATAGCCAGTTATGTTTTCTTCTATCTGATAAATATACACGAGTGCGCACACACACACACACACACACACACACACCAACAACCACAACCATCATGGAACTTTTAGCAGCATACATTAGTCAAAGAGGTAGAAACTGCCCCATTTTCACATGAAACCTGAAAGCTGCCATCTCAATGTTCACAGATGTCCCTGAGAGCCATCTCACGTTGACTTGCAGACCTACGATCAGATATGAAGAAAAGTGAATAGGAAATCTAAAGTTCATAGGGACATCATTATCTCATCAGGGACAGGAGAATAAAGGGAAGTCAGTACACCCAGCAACCAGTCATCTACAAATGTCCAATTCTGCAGTCTTCTCAGAATCTTTGGCCAAGAGCTAGACTTTCAGTTTTAGCAAAGCCGTGACAGCAATGGTCATCCTAGCTCCTATGTGCAGTCAAATCATCCAGTGCCCTTTCTGTGTAAGGGCAGTCGGCTGGTTCACAAAAGGAAGAGAAGCAGGCTTGAAGAGGAGAGACGGGCTAGTGTTAAAGAGAGAGATTTTCAACAGGGTTCTATGGTTGCTATAGAAACAGCTCCTTTTGTTTGTACATACTCAGAACAGCTGCTTCTTTTTGGCTTCTGGTGGCAGGGACACCACAGAGGTAACTGAGAGGGGAAGAAGCATCGCTAACTGACACAGTAACACTTTCCGCAGTCAGAATACTTTTATTTCAACTGGTAGCATGGGTGGGGTCAATGTGGCTTGACAAGGAACTATAAAAGATAAATTCCAACAAGGAAAGGCCAAGGTGTGCTTTAATCTGCCAGAGATGCTGTGCTAATTTGAACAATATACCTCCACTCTTTTGTGCTCTCATGACTTGAAACACTCCATGTTATTACAGCCTCAGATATATGCAAACTCTATTGCCAGCCCTCCCCCAGCAGGTGGTTTTTTTTTCCCCACCAAGAGAAAAATACTCCTTACAAATGCACACAAATCTCTCCATACCTTTCCAAGCCCTAATTAATTTCTCTAATTAGAGCCTTTTCTGGCTCCGACCATTTACTAAGTTGAATGGCTGCATAAAAACAAATTTAATGAATACGCATAAACTAATAATCCTCACTGAATTAACACTCCTGTTGCCCACGAACTGGTATTAAAACCAGCTTAATAGAGTCTTCAGTAGACCTCACTGGAGAAGGTCATCTCCAAGGAAAAAGCAGAGAAAGCCCATTTGCGAGATAAATTCTCTAACAACCATTTTTATGCATTTTTGTATATGCAAGCATAGATATATAAAGCACACATGGCACATATATATGTATGTATTATAGATCCATTTGCTTTTCTATAACACATATAGACCTAAGTAACATGGACTGAAAAACAAACTCGGAGGTTAAAACAATTGAAGCAAAACAGTAAAAACAGCATCTGCAGGAGTAGTCAAATTGCACAATAACCAAACTTAACGATGCAAATTTGTGCAGTAGAAGAGACAGCTGTCCTTATAAACAAATTAATACTGAACATAGGTGTATTAGCATGTTTCTGACCCTCTGGGATTGCACAAAAGTGCACCATGACAGCAAAGTAATGCTTTTCTTTTTATATAGAAATACAGTCATCATTTGTCCAACTGGTAACTTTTAGTCCTTCTATTTGTACTTAAAATCCAGGTAACATTTGGTTGGTTTAAATTGGTAACTGCAGACATTCATACGTCCTACATCTTAAGACTCAGCCATGGCAATTTAACTGGATATTTGCCTAAGATTTCTTATATCAATCAATTCATTTTATCTTTTTTTAATCACATAAAATCTGAGTCAACAAATTTTGATTGGATCAAACTATAAAGAGATTTAGAACAGCATAAATGTTTATGTTGTTAAATAAAAATAAAAATTTCTGAGATTTCATATTGGAGTCTTTCATGTACATATTTACTTACTTGAATATCGACATATTAGAAGCAAATCCTTTCACATTAGTTTCAGTTAAATATCCATTACTAAAACAAGTTTGACAATAACAAGTGTACCCAGTTTTTCAGCTTTTGCCAGCATGGTTTGGAACAAATATCTAACCTCTTTAGAAGTCAGTTTGTGTAAGACAATGATACCAACACAGTGGGTAAAAAATTAAGATAAGGTATCTAAATTCATATGGAAATTATAAATGTTATATGATTCTGCTATATTAATAAATGAGAAAAATTTTACTTTTTATTTCATGAATTTCTTTTATTCTGACATCACACATTTTCAGCATTATCAATTTTCTGAGCACCATATTTCCAATGTTCCAAATACTCATAACTGAAGTCTCATTGGTTAACACTGATATACTAAATCCAAACTAAAGAATTCACTTCTCTTAAACAGGTAATTTATTGCACTTCTAAAGACATTGCGTTTCTTTCCATGCTGGAACTCCCAGTCTGGTAAGTTTTCCTCATGTCTGAGTCTTTGCTTTCATTCATTACAACTTAGTTGTGTGTGCACCTGAACTTCTGTTCTCATTTCCTCTTTCACACTCAAGTTTTGCCGACGTTATCTTGAGTTCTTGCTAAACCACCCACAAATCCCAGGTTTATTTCTCCATCATTCAAGAGACCAGTTCTTCCTCCAGTCCATCCTACAGATCTCCTTAAATATCTGATGGTTTCTGCCTTCCTACTGCACGGGTCACACTTTTCCCAGACCCACAGGGAATTACATGTTCAAAATGCAGCCAACATGCTATTGTAGTCTCCCTTACTTTTAAATATATGCACAGTGTTTTAAAATCTATACTTTGAGAAGCTCATGCACATAACACACAATGTATCTTATAATAACTACCCTCCATCTTACCTTCCAATCCCTCCTGGACCCCCTTCTACTATGCTACTTCCAAAATTAATATCCTTGTTTCAATTTTACTTAATAACTCACTGCGCCCAATTAGTGTTGCCCATATGTGCAGGAACTAGAGTCATTCACTGGTGCACTACCTCTGAGACATACCTCTGAAAGCACCTGACTCTTTCTCCCATGGTAGCCACCAACTGTCAATACCTTCATATCTAGTGGTAGGGCCTCAAACATTTTCCTAATAATTTTGACTTCACTTTCTACAAGTCTATTGTACCATTTGGCTTCTGCCTTATTTTGTGTCTTTATTTCTGTAATACACTAACCAAAGCCAACTTGGAAGAGTTGTAGTCCATCGTGGAAGGAACCCAAGGCCAAAGCTTGAAGAAGAAGCCTTGGAGAAATTCTATGTACTGGCCTGCTTCTAGGCTCTTATTTAGCTTCCTTTCTCCTACTGTCAAGGACTATGCCCCCCCCCCAATGATACCATCCACAGTGTATGGGCCCTTCTATATCAATTAGAAATCAATAAAATACCCCACAAATATGCTCACAGGCCTGTCGATTAGAGCCATATCCTCAAATGAATTTCCCTCTTCCCAAGTTGACAACTGAAGCTGATCATGGTCTCTTCTATATGAAGCTTGTCCCTGTCCCAATTACTCGAGGTCACGTCACAAGGCATTTCTTTCTTGAAGATTTAGTAAATTCACTTCTTTTGTTCCAAAGTACACCATCTTGGGCACTATTCTGGAAGGTACTTTTAGCCTAGAGATATTCTTAATTTTGTGTATTTTTTGTCTTTGTTAATTTCTAATTATTATTTATTCAACTTGATATTCATAATAGTGTCTGTTAAAAATTAATGCTTATTTTGAGTTGAATTTATATATACAAATTTAGACATGGCTACTATTATTTCTTACTTATTTATAAAGTAAGTTTGATGGTAAATGTGGGCTCTTTCTTTTCTTACCTTTAACCTAGTCATAATCCTGTTACTTCATATTATCTCCATTCTAATATTTTATGAACACCGTTAGTTATTGGTATAAAAGTATCTGTTTCACAAATAGAATTTTTGCTAGGGTGCATATAATGGTTAATCACTACTTTTTAAAAATGGGCCAGAATTTTTCTTATTCTTTAAGAAGGTATCTGATCCTAAGAGTGAAGTCTCTGTCTGCCATCCATTGGAGTCACAATTAGATTGTGCTGAGAAAAAGAGACGTGAATAAGGAGGATCTGAGTTGATAGTGTTAGGGTCAAACTATTAAATTGGCAATGCTGAAACACCAAATATATTATTATAATCCATTGCCATGACAAAAACTCCATAAATGTAATTTTTAAAATGAAAGAAGTAGGAAGGAAAAACCCAGGGTTGTAAAAGGCATGTAACAGCCAGTCAGAGCTTTCAACTTGAACCTACATATTCTGTTTTTGAAAAAAAGTTTTTTTTCAGCATACAGTTTGTTGCCTATCTGCAATCCTCTGTTTTAAACCTGTCTAGTAATATGAACTCTATCACTGTTTAAATCCATAAAATGCAATAATGTCATGATTTTTATCCTCCTTTCTTCACTTCACGCAGCATTGTGTATTTCTCCATCTTGGATGGTTTATTACGTCTCCTTTGCTCTTCCATCTGCTCTCATTTTAAAGGATTTGTAAAGTCAAGAGAGCATCACATCCGCTCAGAAACGAGTGGGAAACATCCATCTATTTTAAACGTAGCACCTTGAACGTCCCATTTTGATCACACAGACTCCATAGTGGAGACCAATTAAGGCAGTCATTAAACTAAATATAACCTCAATTTTTATATCTCTGGCTTTTTTGATTATTTCTCTCCTTCCCCATATCACTGAATTCGTTGCATTAAATATTCATTTAGTAGGTGCCAAAGCAAGTGAGTTATAGCTCAGTTCGAAAGTGTTATGCAAAGGAATAAAGGGATACAGTGAACTCAGAGAAGACATACGCAGTATTTTCTTCCATAATGAGTAAACCCTCAATACCTGTTTATAGCCAGGTCAATTCCTCCCCCTGAAGCTTTGTATCAGTATTTTCTCAAGTAACCAGCTGGTAGAAAGTTTCTCCTAACTTGGTTCAGTTTAGTTCCTCTATTTCTCTTATGGATTGTACACATGCAGTTGTAATTAATATTTATGCTGTATTAGAATCATTCTAGAGTAAGCTAAGGTTGTGTTCACCTTAATTAACAATTATCTATAAGCCAACTGTACAGTTTGTGCTTAAATATCAATGGAAGAGAGTTCATAGAAGATAATAGGAATTGAAAAACAAAAATGGATCTAAAATTAACACTTCCTAAATCCTATGCTGAGAATTTATGAGATTATGAAATTTTTTCATACACTATCACAGACATATTGATATACATAATTAAAATAATTAAAAAATGATATGTCTAATTGTAATTTCATAAATTATTAATAGGTATTTGAAATACACAATTTGTAAAGGTATTTTATATTGCAGGGACTTCAAATTCTTTATAAGCAATGAGAAAATTCATCAATAAACATTACATAAAGGCTGTAGGTTAGTGGTTCTCAAGCCGTGGTCACGACCCCTTTGGCAAATCTCTATCTCCAAGAAATATTTACATTGTGATTCATAATAGTAGCAAAATTGCAATTTTGAAGTAGCAACAAAAATAAGTTTATGTTTGGGAACCACTACAACGTGAAGGACTGTGTTAAAGAGTCTTAGCATTTGAGAACTACTGCTTTAGGTACTGTTTTATACATATATATTATTGTATATATGATAAAAGAGATTGTATACTATATATACATATAATTTTAACATCAAATCAAAATTTGTGAATATTATAAATCAAAATTGTGAATATTATAATCACAACCTAATATAACTCTAAGTACCATGTCTTAAAGGTGATATCAGAGGATTTTGTAGCAGGGCAATGTGAACTAAAATTGTTAAGAAACCTGGAAATAAAATTTATTAACTAAAGACTCAGAAGCATTGGCAAGATGCCATTATAAAGAGACCCCTACTGATTTGTTGGCTAGGATTAGGAGATTTTAGAGGCAAATGCCCTTCCCTGTACAGTTTACTCTGAGGACTCTCCTCAGAGACAGACAGAACGAATACAGGAACAGTGGAAACAGTGAATAGGACCATTATTGTTCAGGAATGTGAAATCAGATTTGGTCCATAGCATAGAGTTGATCACACAGAGATGGGCTCAGCATCAATGAGCCTCCCACATAAGGGACCACGCCAAATTGACCTAGCACTTTCTCACTGTATTGTTATCTTTCAATTGACCTTTACAGATCTTATAATTGACAGAATGTTCTGATTCCTGTATCTTACTCTCAATTAGTTTCTAAATTGTGTAAGTAGGGATAAAACATATCCTTTTGGACTTCATGAAATGAACCAAAGTGTGTATGTATGTATATCGTTTTCTCTCCCTCTTCTCCTTCTAACTCGTACCATGTGTCCCACAATTCCTCAAATTCACAGCTTTTATTTGAAGTATTTTATGTCATAGATTTTAATCATTTACACTACATGATGAGCTTATTTAGTATTGTTTATATGTGTGTTTAGGACTGACCAATTGGTATTGAATAATCTATTGAGATAATCCCTGGTGAAGACTGTTTCATTCTTATACCTCCTCCCCCTCACCTCTCTCTCTCTCCTTCTCACTCTCTCGCTCGCTCGCTCTCTCCCCCTCTCTCTGTGTTGTCTTAACTTTGCCTATAGATCTTTTCCTAAGGGTGGAGTCTTTTGAGATTGATTAACACACACATTTGTTGTCATTTGCTAGGGCTTGTTTAGGCAACCATATTGTTGAGATTTCATTGGTTCAGCTTTTCAATCAATTGGAAAAAATACAAAAGTACATTTAGTCTTTAGTCCACAGAAAACTTTCCTATTTTCATCTAACCCTGGTATTCTTTCTCCTTACTTACCCTTTAAAGCAGATTTGAAAATGTCTGAATTTGGATTTATAACATAATGTGATTTGAATAAAAATGTTTCATAAGATAGCACTAGCCATAGGATTTAATGATCAAGTGGAAAATGATCAAATGAGTTATCAAAGAGTGAGATCTTTAACCGGAGACAATAGGAAAAGTGAGGAAGAATACGAATGCTAGGAACAACATAGGCACATTCTGTGGATCATCACTGGCACTTTGAACCAGGAAACTGATCTCCTTTTTCTCTCTGAAGTCTCTGACGTGTATCTCTATCCCTTATTTTGATCATTGTGGCAAAGTGTCAGGTATCAGTAGTAGAATGTTAATCCATACTTGCTAGTGGGTGTGTATGACAGAGTGGAAGTGCCTTGGTATGCCACTTGACCCATGGAAGGTGCAATGGATGACGTGCAACTCATGATGAACACTCAACATATGTTAGTTATTGGTTGTTAACAGTACTAATAAAGCTGTGAATAAGCCTCAATTTACTAAAATAAGCTTTGTGTCGTCTTTTTTATTTCATCATTATTTCACAGGAAGACACTACCTTTGGGATTTATGCAAGAGGCAAGGAGTATATATATCACCTTCTCCCA